TCTTTCCCCAAAGTTCTTCTCCATTTAGACTCTTGGACTCCAAGGAAGATGCAAGAAAACAAGATACTGAAGAAGTAAGCCTAGGATCAAGTTCTGAAAGTAATGGGACAGACAGTAGGGCTTATGTCACTGGGAACAGACATGAGTTTGAAAGATTCAAGAAGTTCATTAAAGGAACACTTGGGGAGAGATACTGGTGTCTCTGGATGGATATTGAAAGACTGAAGGCTCATAAGGACACTACAAGGCAGCAAAGGTACTTCCTATTATTTAAGTTATTCTCATTATTTTAATATGTGTAACCCAGCTAGATCAATGCCAATTTTGAGATTTCAGAATAAATTGCAACATCTGAATAGAACAGACAAAATTAATCACAGTTTTCCTGACAAGGTAAGTGAGGAATGACTCTGCTGAAGCTGATAAAACTCTTTTCGCAGAGTCACATTTGCAAAGCTTACATGAAGTCAGAATTCCCATAGTATTAAGGCTTTGTTAGAAAGAGATTTGGAAAACAGATGACAATAGGAAGAAAAAGAATAAAATAACTCAAATGCACAATTAGGGCATTCAGTATGACAAATTGCTTTAATGAAAGGCTCTACTGATTTAAGATTGTCTATTATAAGGCACTGTACATTTTATCTTATACACAAACTGTCTCTAATTTGAGGAAAATTGTTTTGATATCTACCACTTGCAATTAAAAGCATGTTGCACGACAGCAGTTTGGCCAGTAGGATGAACTGTACTTGGTTCTGTATAGCATCTGATACATGCTTATGTGACTGTTTTTGTTGACTCAAGACAACTCAGTAAGATGAAAATACTGTATCTGCTGAGCAGCGGAGACTATTTCCTCAGTTCAGAAGTGTTACTCAGACTTGATCTATGGCATGGAGATAAGTGGAATATAACGCATTTAAAACAGATCCAGCCTGAAGTGGTGAAACCTCTACTTCTTTACTGGTATGAAAAAATGAACATGAACTAAGATTTTATTCTTAACAAATTTCCCTTTTCTTTGATAAGCTTATTAGGTTTATTTCTTCTCACTTATCCCATTGCAATTATGGGAAGCAATGTCATGGTAAATACTAGCAGATGTTGCCTCTGTATTTTGAGTTGAGCCCAAACTACGCTGCAATCTGCTGAGAAGCCAGGTAGATCTGTCTAACTGAGCCTTTGTTATTTTACTGCCAGAGCATCTGAGCTACTTTGTTTATAGCTGACTTGTATACTGTTCAACTGAACTTTAGGCTGCAGGGTAGAGAAACCCCTCCAGGCATAGAAGGTTAATTCTGTCCTAACCTATTCCCCATACTGCCCTTCTCAAGTTTCTGAGGATGCTCTGTGTATACATCTACATGGAATTTGACCCTGAGACTTTACTGTTCAATGTCTGTCATACAAAATGCCTTTTCCATATTGATAGCTTAAGTGAGGATACAAATTCTAACCTGCTGCGAAAACATAAGCTAAATTTTTGAAGGACTTCTCCCCAAGAGGGATCAACAAGTTGCAGGCATAAAAAGATACCTGCAATTGTGAACTTTGCTGTGGAGCCTCATGAGAGCTGTGGTCCATGTCCTGTGATCTACAATCCTTTCCTATTCTTTGCTATAAGATGGATGGGGCACATCCTACTGCAGAATCATAAAAAGGCAACTACGTAATGATGCAGGATTTGTACCTGTTTATTTGTATGTTGCTTGGTTTTAGATTTGGGACAGTGCAATATCTAAACCTATTTTGAACACTAACTGATTTTTAAATCTAGGTGCACATAGCACCATATTTTGACAGAGTAATCTCCATCATGAGGAAAAAAAAAAAGCAACCAAATAGCCCAGTATTTAATGTTTTGGGAAAGTTCTATTTACTAGCATTTTTTTTTCCCTAGGGGTCCCAGGTTCTGGGTCACTCACTCAACAGCAATAGACAATGCCATTGCAAAACTGAAGCTCTGGCACACAAGTCTAGTGCGACCAAGGGTGGACGTTGATCCTTTTCCACAAATTGTTTCATTGCTACCATTGACACCTAAGTCTTACAGGCCCAGGATGCTGCCTTCCTTTCCTCAGGTAAGTAGGCTCACAACATTGAAGAACAAAGCTGTATGCCATCAAAAATCATGATAAAGCTCTTAAATTTAATGGAACATGAATACATTACTGGTCTGTTGCAGATGGTTATGTATAAAAATGCAACAAAATTTTGCTATAATTTATGCAACAGGTTGCTAGAAATTCAGTGAAATTAGCTTCTCAGTTGCACTTTGGCTATTTCATAAGTCTTTTGGATAGATATTTTAGCTCAAATTTCTCAGAACTGCAGAATTAAGGATCTGGAATTGCAGATCCTATCCTTCACCCAGCCTTATCTTAATCCAGAGTAATTCTTAAAACTTCACTATACTTACCCTGAAACTACCCCTCATGTCTGTAAACAAGTCAGAGTTCTGCTCATTTTGTATCATCATAGTCCTTCAATCAGCTAAATGTGATTTTTGCTTTCTACAGAAAACCATAAACCACAAAACGTAGGCCTTTCCACAGCATGCAGCTTGCAGTTGAAAAGTTCAGTTTTGACTCTTTTCTTTCCTGAAAGCCTGAGTTTGAGACGTAATGGCAAAGGTGCAGATTTTCAGCAACACCGTGTTAAGCCTCAGAACAGAAAGTACTTGAAGAATGTAAATCAAGATTGTAGTTCCAGTATCAAGAACTGGATGTGCTATGCCACAGATCTGTTCACACACTTCTGTTGCTTTGAGATGGACAGTTATAGACTATGATTTTGGTTTTTAAAAAATCTAATTCATGGAGATAATGGAGGAAAAACAATGGGGCAGGTTTCCTGTTCAGAAGAAGCTGGGCTCAGGAGCCTTTTAGGAATGGGAGCCAGAAGAAACTGCCTCTCACAGAGACGGGTTCTGACTTCACAAGGTGTGCAACGACCCAGGACTAGCTGTAGGTCAGACAGACAGTATCCTAACTCTTCAGGTTTCCCAGCCCCTGTTGAGTTCAGCACTTGAAGAAAAATATGACCTGACACTCATGAACCTCATAGAATCAGCTGATGGATCATTTCTTGCAGTTTTTAAAATATTTTTCTTTCAGTGAGAAATCTAGACTTTTGAATCTTCCAGCTTCGTTGTGCTTGCAAGAGGTTAGAAAGATGAGCAACTCTGGGTGAAGTTCTGAGAGCACTCTGAATGCAACTGGTGTCTTCAAAAAGCCGTAGCATGATTTTGTTCACATTAAGCCAATGATGGTGTGGCAGAATGCCATCTTCTCTCCTAGTCTGAGCAAGCTACTTAAGGGAAACTTAGTAAAGATTCACAAAACATGTTAATGTGCTCTTCATCTGACATCACCTCTAATTCTGTGCAAAACATATGTAACATTTCTGCCTGTTATAAATGTAAATTTTAAGCTATAGTCATATTAAGGTGTGCTGAAAACTCTTGAAAGGTATTCAGAGCAGCTTTTTGCAATTTGCAGTTTTACATATTGTGATTGACAAGGAAAAATAGTCCTGAAAACCACTGAAAGTTTTAAGTAGTTAATGAGAACGTGCCAAGAAAACACAAAGGTGGAAAAATGATCAAATTGCCTTATCTTTCTGTTATGTTTTTTAGAAAAGTAGAACAAGCTTACCAGCAGCTTCATCAAAATTAGCTACACCAACTTTCTCTTTGAAGAGGTCATCAAGATTGCCACCTACCCTGCCATCAGTTCAGAGCCCCCAAAGGTATGACATTTCTAGCAGCAGAAAGTTTTAAGTACAAAAGTCCCTTGTACATCTTTATGCACACCAATATAACTGAAAATATATGAAAGGCTATTAGATCTTACTGTTTTCATAAATACTTTTCTTTATTACAGCAATCTGCTTAGTGAAGCACAGTTACGGTACAGATTGCATGCATGGAGAATTCCTCCCTGGCTCATTAGTTTCTCATTTGCTTCTGCCACAACACAAAAGAGTTTATTTCTCCAAAAAGAAGTGTTTTACCCTCTCTTGTGTAGTAGTTGATATTCTCTGCATGCATTCATATTCTTTTAACCGATCTCAATGCTTGCCCTCAAAGATATGCTGTATTAGTGATTTCCACAGGGCGACATGAAAAAGTATTCCTTTACATTTTTCACACTTATTATACATTTGAGCTTCATCTACTTTTTCCTCTGTTATTCACTACGTCATTCTACCTCTCTCATGCCCCTTCTTAGTTGTTTATTTTATAACTAGCCCTATTTTTTTCTTAAACATCTATTGAAAAATTTGTTTGTTTGTGGATCCAGGCGAAAGTCAAGGAGAAGAGACATGATTCATTGCTTATCTTCGGATGACACTGAAGTCTCAAAATACCAGCGTCATAGAAATTACATCTATGCTGATCTTCTCATGGTAAATACTACTGGAAAGGATTAGTTGTCTTGAATCACGGATTAAAACACTTTATTTTGTAGTATTAAAGGGGAAGTAGTAAATGATGGGGAGAAATTAGTTTGATTATAGGAAAGTCAATGCATTATGCAGAGGTGTAATTGGAATGTCAGCATTTTCTGTGTGGTATCTGTCACCTATTTGGTAGGAAATCATGGCACATACAGAGGTTTATTTTGACTAGAAAGTGTTGATTTTTTCCATGGTGACCATGTGTTCAGTAGGCTATTATGGAAAACTCACTGGATAAATGCTTCAGTGGAATTGTTGCCTGGGAAAGTATACCAGACTTACAGTGAAAACTGAATCTGCCCCAGAAAATCATAAAAATAGTAAAATTCATATGAGGAAAATGCTTCATTTGTGCAATTTCTCTTTATTGCTTGTGTACTTCATTCTTTTCTTTGTTGAATTATTGCCTGCTGAGCAAACCTCAGGAAAGACAGGCTGCACAGAAGAGCCTTTTCTCAATAACTGTTAAAATGCTGACAAATCGAACATGTGAGATGTCAAAATCTGGCAATTCAAAATATATCCAAAACCTCTTACATTTGTGGAATGGTCTCTAAACAAGCAGCTTTTTCATGGTGGTATTGACACTCACAGCCTCACACAGAGTCACAGAATGTTAGGGACTGGAAGGAACCTCGAAAGATCATCTAGTCCAATCCCCCCGCCGAAGCAGGAACACCTAGACGATGTTACACAGGAAGGCATCCAGGCGGGTTTTGAATGTCTCCAGAGAAGGAGACTCCACCACCTCCCTGGGCAGCCTGTGCCAGTGTTCTGTTACCCTTACTGCAACTAAAAAACCCTCCAAAACGTGAAATCTGGGCCTGTTTACATATGCATGGAGTTTGCTTATCACTTCAACATGATTGTTTGTTTTTCCTGTCAAAATCACACTTTGTTTATTACTTCACTGCAATCATTTTACTTCTTTCTTAATTTTGACAGAAGAAAAGGCTAGTCTTTGCAGTTAGGGGACATTAGAAATTTATATTCAGGAAGTGTTCACACCATGAACTATCAGTTTTTATACACCTTCATCATGCAGAGTTTCCCTCTATCTGAGGGAGGAAAAAACTACCATTTACATTTACAGGGCTAGTCTGGAACCTGCAGTCAGGACCTCATCACTTTTCGATGCCATCAGAAATATGATGCAAAGGGGGAGGCAAGGATTCATAGTTTAATTTCACACTGGGAATGGGGATCTCCCCACTCTGCTTGAGAAGTTTGACTTTCTCCTACCCTTCTCCATCCCTGTTGCTGTTTCGAAAGAAGCTGGTTGTAAGCCACCATACTCATCTGCTCCCACTTCTGCTATCAGAGATGGCAAGTCAGCTAACGTTTCTATCTAGTGATCATCAGAAGTTAATTTAATACTTTGTAGCCTCCTCTGGCTTCTCTGTGAGTATTGGCCACAGTAAAGAGCAGGGATTTCTAAAATGCTCATGATTTTGTTGCTGATACCAGTGACGTAACCTCAGAAGACATATCTATTTTTCCATCATAGCTGATTGTTTTGAGGCTTGAGCAAATAACCACTTCTCTTAGTTGAAAACACATTCGCCTGAGCTGAGATGACTTTTGACAGGTAGGTGATATGGTTTAGTATAACTGGAATTCCCTGGATTCAGAGCTAAAGAGATGACAGAATTAAGGCTAGGTTTGTTTTTCTGTTTCAAGTATTGAGGAACTACCTAAGGAATGAACCACCTTCAGTCATCAGATGTATTCCATTGGATGGGAATATTTAGTGGGAAAATGGTATGGAGAGCTGTGATCAATTGCATATGTAGTAGAAAATGGAGTCTAGTTTCTTGGGATGAAGATACTAATTGAATGCACAGAGTGACCCTCCATTGCAATGTACTGACATTTGAAAATAATGGAGGACTATTATTCTTTGCTGTATAACTATATATTTTTTTTGTCCAGGGAAAAAGCGATGCTGGCAGTGTTTTCTTAGGAGGATCAAGAATGGAAAGCATGCTGCAGTTTCTTTATTTGGAGAACAGAGCAGGCTACTACTTCACAGACTTCTGTGAGAAGTCAGGGAATGAGGTATGAGCATTTTCCTACCCTGTGATAATTTAGTCCACAATTGACTGTTTGCCAAGTTATAGAGACCAGCCAGACTGAAAAAAAAAATGGAGAAAGAAAGACTGATGACTGGATGAATTATTACTTGTGAGACTCCAATCCCTCAACAACAATAAACTGTTCATGTGTATATTCAAACTAATGACAGGTCTTAACCAAGCTGTCAGGTCCTAACTGTCTCAAACCTATTGGAAATCTGATTGTACCATCAGGGATAAAAAAGAGACTAATCATTTTTAAAAACTAGCCTTTAACTTGGCAGAAAAAATGAGGTCTTAACCCACAAAAACATTTTTTAAAAAGATGGAAAATCCGTGATGCTATTACTCATGATAATCTGCCTCCTTACTTGTTGGGTTAGCGATGTCCAAAATCTCTGATGTTTTAAAAACGTTCTTCTGCTTCCACGAAGCTTCTTGGATTTCTGAGAAACATAACACTATTTCTTCTCTGCAGTCAGCAGATCTATCATTCATTGTTGGGTGTAAATTGAGGATTGGTTGGAACAAGTTATGAATCTGACTCAGTGTTTAGTGGCTTTGCAGAAAAATTGAGTCTTTAGGGGAGGTTTGAATGCAATCAAGATGGACATCTGTTTCACCGCTGGCACAACCCAGAATCCAGCAGCAGTAGCTAGAAATGCCTTTGGCTACCAGAAGGCAAGAGCCAATGTTTCCAAAGCTGAATACCTTCCGCTAAAAATGTTAAATGTGGATAGATAGAAATCTAAATAAAAGTAACTTTTTTTTTTCATTGGAGATAGGCACCCACCCGCAAGTCCTCTAGTCTTTGCAGGTGCAGACTCTTTCGAAAATTATTTCCTTAAGATTTTATCTAGAACTGTGGAGCCTATTTGACTTATATACCAGGTCTGGCAGACTACAGTTTGCAGAGCAAAGTTCCCGGCTCCTATCTTTTTGGAACATTTTCTTTTTGTCCAGTGTTCGGATTTCAGGGTATTTTTAAAATTTGAATCCCATAAGCATATGATTAAAACAAGAATTGTTTTAATTGGGGTTTTTTTTTGACTACTTCTCTTAAAAATCTTTAGACGTCTATTTGAATTTATGAAATGAAGCCAAGACTCTGTGCCCCAGAAACACATGTAATAAAAATGTAATGATAGTCGCAGTAATATGTCAAGTACACAATATTTAATTGTTTTGGTTATTGCTGGAAAACGATATTTCACCATGGCACAAATTCTGCATGTCCACTACCAGCATTTCTTCTTTAGTGCTGGCTTTATGCCACTGAAATGTGGTTACTCTTCAAATGTTAACTAAAATGTTAATAATTTTAATGGCCAATTATGCATAAAGGATACAATAAAAGAGATAGTATCGCAGTGACAATGCCATTAAATATGTTGTCCTTCTGCCAGTATGCAACAGAAGATTAAATCCAACTTAAATTGACCTTGATTTATGATGACCCCGAGGAGCTAAATAATTACTTGCATTGGAAAGTTAACCTCTTATAAAGTTGTGATATTTGGATAGCAGTAACTTATAATATTTTTCATCTCTAGTTGTGGAAGAACAGTGCGTACTTTTGGTTTGACCTACAGGCTTATCATCAGCTTTTCTTTCAAGAAACTCTTCATCCATTTGAAATACGCAAGCAAGCTCAAGTAAGTTGTAAATAATGTGTTTTCCCTTCACAAATACATTTGTTCATTCCCTTAACAAATACATTTGTTCAGAGTAAAAACTGAAAAGAAGATAGAAAATAGAAAACTTTCCAAATCTTGACAACACACACCAAAGTAAATCTGGGTTGTGGACAGTAAAAGAAGCTCTTTGGATTTTTTCCATGGAATTTCTTGATTTAAATGTTAAACATGCATAGTTTGATTTCTAGACTCTGCTGCCTGTTCCCAGTTTTATCTATTATACTCAGTTTACCTAATCTTCCTTCTGCTACTCTGTGTTGTATCTGGAAACTCCCTGCTTAGTGTTAAATCAAAGATAATATTTTTTTTCCCTAAATCATCTAATTGTGTTGTACCTTCCCTTCCATCTCCTGTGTGGGTTAGAATTGCAGGTCTCACACGTCAGGCCTCAGATAATGACCTTAGTCATGAATATAAATCTTTCAGTTATCAGCTCTGTTCTTTTTCTGACTGTCAGGACATGATTATGCTATTTTTGCAGTTATTACCCCCACCATTTGATCTTTAGACTCTCATTTGCTGTAAATCAGAATTGATGTTTCCTATAAATGAGCATTCCTAATTGGGCTATAAAACAAAAGTGAACTAGTTCACCACAGGTGATGGGTGCTGATGGCTGTCACTAGCTACAGAATAGTCTAATAGTGCCCAGGAAGGGGGCTGCAGCAGTGTGAGATCATTAGAAACACTCCAAGCAACTTTCAAAATCACTTTGTGAAACTTGGGTCTATTTTTCCTCTGTAAACCTTATGTTGTAGGAGTATATCCTATCTGCATATATTAATATATGCTGTAATAGAGCAAAGCTACTTCACATGCTGTTGGAACAAATATTGGTAGAAAGCAGTGGAGAATAATCTCTTTGTATGGCTTATGTTACTGAGCATCTGATCTTCCCTGAATTTGTCTTCTTTTCCTACTTGGAGGTTTTACTGGGACAAATGACAGAATTTTGCATATTTGTGCAGAATTCCCACCTGAACCAGCATTATTTATACAGAAATTGCAAGCAGAGGTCGAGGCACAGATTCCTCCCTCTCTCCTGTCACACACTGGTTAACGTGAACTGCTACCCTAATTAGTTTTCCCCACCATCTCTACTTAGAGCCTGAGGCTGAGGGTACCCTTAAGACTGACTGTCTCCTGTATCTCCCCTGGTCGGTGTGTGGCCAGGGATCCCACTCACAACACAAGTGCAAGTGAACCGTGTCTAGAGAGGGTCTTCATTTTCCTGTATGGTTTGTTGCAGACCAAACTTTAGGTTATGGTCAATGATGGCTTTCCATTTTGTTTCATTTCACACCAGCTGACACTCCACAGCAGAGGCATGACTGAAAACTAAGACCCAGTCTTTTTTTACTTTTCTTATCTTATTTCCAATGCTGGCCTGGTGGTGACAGCAGAACATTGTACAATCAGTGTTACGAGGCAGTTGCAGAGAGCTACACGCACATAGCCATTAAAGTAAATACATCAAAACGAAATACGTGAAACTGTTCCATTAGCATAACTAACAGCTGAAATGTAACATAACAAATCAACACATGTGCTGCAACATTTGGTATCATTCTCAGTCTTGCCTTTTAAGGCTGTGCAAAAATTATTCTTGTTTTCATTGGAACACGGTAGAGAGTCAAGCTGCATCCAATCTACAGGGTCAGCTTATGGAAGAGATGCCTTCCCAAATTCTGTGCTCACCTTTGGCATGATAAGATAGTCATTCGAAGTACTCCTAAGAGAATGTGGATCAGATTCGCATAGCACATCGTCATGTATATTTTACTGTCTATTACAGAAAGAGACATCCAGAGTATTCCGTACATTTTCTGTCTGCTTCCTGTTAGAAACAAGAACAAACCTGCATTGCTCTGTATCTGCTACTCACTGTGTCATTTGTTAGGCATTTTTATCTCAGCTTTACGACAGAGTAAGAAAATGCATTCCAAGGTATATATTCATTCATCCAGGGGAAGAAACTACAGTGAGAATGAAATTCGATGGAGGAGAAAAATGATGAGTATCAGTAATCAGCCAGGAACATACACAGTTGATGATGGGGGTTAAGGTAGTTTAGCTTTTCCATTTAAGACCAGTCAGTGCATTGTATTCTTCCATCATATGATTCTGTCAAGCAGCTGCACAAGCTCCTCATTTAGATCAGAGCAATATCCACGCCTTTGGGCAGCACTACAAAGCCCTTGGACTCAAATCATCTTGCTTCACTTGAGCCATTCTGAGATTGCTCACCAAAGCCTTCTCATCTGGGGATGAATTCACACCAAAACCCAAGGCCTGAACAATCCCTGATTTGGAAAGCTATAAATTAGGCCAAGGTCTGAATCTGAATTTCCTAATAATTTCACAGTTCAGATTTGTGCCATTATTAGTAATTCCAAAATACAATCTCTGACCAAATTTCCAGATATGGTTTTGAGTTCAATTCACCACTTATTATAATACATTTATAGGAAAATGTACAGCTGACAGGTAGGAAAATTATTTGCGTATTACAAAAGGAAAAAAACATTGAATCAATTGAATCAATGTGCATGTTTTGTCACATACTTAACATTTTTATATGAATTTGATGGCCTTCAAGTTCATTTAATGTATTTTTATCCTGTTGATCCTTTAGGAGATTGGCCAATACGAAAGTTTCACTATTCCACTGAGATTCAGAAACCCACAAGACTTCCATGACATAGGAGTCAAAAAAGGCTATGAATATTCCTTTTTAAATGATACAATGTATTTTCCTCCTATATTTTGCTAACTTCATTGCTTGGTGTTGAAAGCCCTGAACACAGACACTTTTCCTCTTCATTGGCATGCCCAGAACTCTCCACAGCTGGCTTTCCTGCAGTCTTGGCAATCAAACCAGTCTTTATTGTACTGATAACAGTGGGCCACAATAGCCACAATCCACCTTCGTTTTCAGTGATTAGACCTATGTAGAAGGGAGGCAGAATCCTCCAACTGGAGGACAGATGGGAAATATTATAGTCCTCTATTCCTCAGTGACCTGATACCAGAAGAGTCTAAAGGGTCTGTTTCAAATTGCTAAGGTCCAAAATAACAGAGATGCAGTATGGTCCTGTTGCTGTTTGAAAGAGAGAGACTAATAAATCAGAATATAGTTTAAAACAAACAGAGACCTAATTATTAAATGTACTCAACAGAAACATAATTATTTAAGGTACTCAAACATTTCCCACTGTGCTTGAAATCCAAACGCAATTGTGTCTTGTTACTGATTGAACATAGAGTAAATGTACTATTTTCTTCTTTTCTACTGCTTTGTGCATCAGCTAGTTAGAGCTGGATTTTAGCAACATAAAGAAAATGAGAATTATCTGTAACCTCCATTCTCCAGTGTCAAAACTGTGTGATAATAAGCAATGAAGCTGGTTTCCTCAGTGCCATCCTGGAGAGAAATTCTAATTTATGCTACTGATCTGATCCCCTGACCATATGTTCAAGAATTAGTTAGACTCTGACAATATGAAGGAGAAAAAACATTTATAACTATATGAAATTTATTATAGCAGCATCTTTCTTCATTTGAGTTCCTAGCTGCAGTAAAAATCATGATGTATCAGAAAGATATTCTGGAATATCTTCTTCCAAGATACTCCTGGAAGAAAGTGTTTTTCTCTGAGTTTTCAGTGTTCTTTTTCCTAGCAAAAACCCCAAGAATTTGACTTAGGGGACTATTTGGAAAAAAAATCAGATTTGAAATAAATAAAAAAATTACTCTGCTTCAAGAATGAGCTGCTATTGAGAAGGAAACATTCTCCAGGTTCAGCTTTCTTCTATTCATACACATTGAATGGCAAACTCTGAGTACTTCATAAAAATACCATGATGTCATCCTCATTTTGGTGAGAATTCAGACCGCAGTTGTGCAGTGGTGTCTCCTTTTATGGATCCTGTACCATGACAGAGTTTCATCAGTGTCAAAGAACTGTGCAAGAATAGCTCCACACAGAGTGAAATCTTACATTTTTTCATTAATTTTGACCTTAAATGTACCAATTCACATCTATCCAGAAAAAGTACAATTATTTCACAAGTTGGCCCAGCACATATTCTGCAAAACAGCACCACAATTTCATGAAGAGTACAGTTGCTGTAATGAATGTGATTATCTGAATCTAAGAATCAGCCAAATAATCTCCAAATGAAAATTGCATTAAGCATTAATTTGTGATCAAGTAGCAGTAAAAATGGCAGGGACGTCAGTTATGGCAACAGCTGAATTTTGGACAAAACAGTAATATTGGTGAAAACAAAGCAGATGTAATGAGGTATATGTTCAGAATATACAGCAAGGCAGTGGGGGACAAATATGCACTCATATTCTCCTTCAGTGGCCTGTGACCATTGGAATGGATGATGGCTAAGAAACTCCTCTTCTGTTTTATTGTAGTTCCTTTTTGCAACTTACCTAGCCCCATCTGCTCCTATGGACATTGGACTTCATCAGAGTAAGAAATACATGATTTATCAGAAAATCAACCCAGCTTTTGAGGATCTTTTTGACTCAGCAGAAGAATATATCCTCTCTGTTCTGCTAGAACCATGGATGAAGATGGTGGAAGCAGAAGAATATACTTATGGAAAGGTAATGAATCTGGACAACACAATGAAAAATTCTTATGTTGGGGAATTAAATTACAAGATCCCTCATGTGCAACTCTGTTACACTTGTAGTCACGAAGGGAGAAGTATTACAGGCTGTTTTGCTCACACACTTTTGCACGCTGGTATGTGGAGTAGGCTGAGCCTTCTGCAGAGAGCAGACTTCTCATCTGAAAGGAAGATGCAGGTTTCATAGACTCCTTGGTCTGTGAGTCAGGGAGGAAGGCATCTTGCTATGGCAAAATTTCTTTCTGCACTCAGGAAGTGTCATGTTTCTGCAATCTGACCGTTGATCGGAAGTAATTTTCTTATGATGGTTTGCCTACAAACCTTCTATGTTTTTAATGATAAGCACAAAATAAGCTGTTTCTCTAGAAGTGTCAGCACAGTGATGCCAGGTTCTTATTAATTGTATCAAGTATTTCTTGGTGTTTAGAATTAAAGTGCAGCTTCTGCTTAGCATAAGAGGAAATGTGATATGGTGAAATAATACAGCTATATTTGCCCCAAACACATTTTAGATAGCTGCCCTGCTTTGTAAGGGCTAACTCTGCTCTGCAGGCTTCCTGGAGTAGGTGGCTCAGTGGTGAACTCCGTCCTAATCCCAGAAAGACTCTGAAGGCTTCAACTGAGCAGGCTCATGCAGGTCGGAGGAAATGGCTGCAATCCTGACTCCGCTTTTGACAAATAATAATAAGAAAAAGTGGAGGCAGTGGTGGATGCTGTGGCTCTCTGCTCTTTGTAAATTCACCTACAAGTTACCAGCTGTAGGTCAAAATTCTAATTCCAAGTCTTGAACAACTCCCTCATGGATATGGAAGGAGAAATTTCCAACGAGGAAAGAGAAGTTGGAGGGCAAGAAGGTAGTTCTTGTTCCTGCTTTTCTCCCCCATGTCCTTGGATGAAGCATCTCTATTTTTACAGGAAATACCACCACCTACTGCTCATACTTCTGTCAGCATGACAGCATGAGAACATGCGTACATTACCCCCTGCAAAACATTTTGAAATCCTTTTACAGGAGTTTTGTGGTATGGTGTATTTTTGTTACTATATTGTGCATACATGTATGGATGACTGGGAGATCCCATACCTAAAATTAAAGTTGAGAATGGTCCTCTAAGCATATGAGGTGGTGGCCAGTATTAAACAAGACTCTAGAGTACAAGAACAGAAAAAAAGTCCCATACAGCAGTACTGCCAGTTTCAGCACTTCGCAACTGAGGAGCTTCATGAAGGAGAGGTCTTACCCATATTTTTGTGCTTAACAGTCTTTGACAAACTTTTTTCTCCCTGGATTTGTGTAAGTGTGTCTTAAGTCACGTCTTCAGCCTCACTGTAGTAGTGGGTTCCATGGTTTAATCATGGAATATGAGGAAAAAAATGCTTATCTTTGTTTGCAAACCCCTCCCTAACAATTTCACCCAGTGCCCTAGTTCTGTATGCCCTGAGAAACAGTGAACAATTATTACCTTGTCATATTATCAATGTTGTTATGCTTTTATATGTTTCTGTTATATCCTACACTTCAATTATATTTCTCTGAAACTCAAGAATGCTAGACTATCTGTCCTCTCCTGTTATGGAAGATGTTGGATACCTTTGTTACACTTATAACTCCCACTTGTTCCTATTATTTAATATTCTTTTGAGGCGATGCAAGCAGTACTCAAGATCAGGATTATCCAGTGGCAGAATCATGTTTTCTGATTTGCTCTTTGTTCCTTTTCTAACTGTTTCCATGATTCTAATTGCTTTTTGATGCCTGGTGAACTCTGAGTGGATGTGCAAAGTGTAAGCTATTAGCCATCTGCAATGATTCCAAGATCTCTTTACTAAGTTATAAAAACTAATGGAAAACTCTAATTTGGAGCTCATTGGAATGACTTAATGTTTATTGTCATTGAATTCAGCTGCCCTTTTATCATGCAGACGCTTAAGTGTCCTGAAATCCTGCAGTTCTTTACAGTCAATTTAATTTTTTGCTCTGTGAAATCATTTTGCAAACTTTATCTCCTTGTTCACCTCCCTTTCCAGACAGTTTTGAATGTTTAAAAAAATGTCAGTGCAGATCCCTATGAGACTCCAGTAGGAACCCCACCCCATAATGAAAGTTATTTTATTTTTTTTTCTAAATTCTAATTAATTTGCAAAGGGACCTTCCATCTCATCCTGTGATAAGTTAATTTCCTTAAGAAACTTTGAAAGTTTGAACATCAAAAAAACCTTACTAAAATTAAATATATTAATCCAAACACATCTCCAAAATATTCCCTTCAGTTTCAGCATCTTTTCTAAGCTTTCATATAAATTATTTTTTCTAAGCTATTTTGGCTATGGTTGTTTGTGACCTGCAGAACACTGTGTAAGTAACCAGTGCTTTCAGTAATTTGAATTTTTATCTACTATCTATCAGACTAGTTTTACAGTCTTTCGTAAATGTGTATTTTCCACGTGTATTATCAATACTAGTTGTCTAGTATCTATTGCCAGTCCTCATCGAGTCAAGTTTTTGACTCGGACAAACTTTATGCATTATTTCTGTATAAAAAGAACTCTGTTTTTTAGCACTCTCTGAATACAGTGTTTTCACTGCTTCTGGCACTGGAGGAATTTGTCCAAAGTAACAATGAATACACAAGCTTTTGCTTTAAGTTAATTCACGTGTCAATTTATACCTCCTTGAATTAACCGAGGGATAATCTATAACCCTTTCAGTTTAGACGATGCTTTCCTCTGCAAGAGCAGTTACACGCAGACTTCTCAGTGCCCTAATAACACAAACATCTTAATCAGAGCATGAAAAACCCGAACTAAATCCTTTTGAGTGCATAATACGTGCGTTTGTGAAAAGTTATAATGCACAGACATAAAACGACCTGTTCTGGGAGGCACTAGAGTCTCTTTGTACTAGACACAGGCTGATGCTTAGGCGCACTCCTTCTCAGCACAAAAACAAGGTCTGCTTTGTATTTTGTTCAGTCCCTGGCTCTACTCTTCCCCTTTGCTCTACCATACAGCAGGACATATTCGGCCCATAATGAATCAAGATATTTTATCAAAAATTAGGTGAGTCCAAAATTGCTTATTTGGAACATGGTCAGCATGTATCCACATTTTTATCTTTAAATGAAACATGAAAACGGGAGAGTTCCTTTTTATTGTCGACTCTCATCCTGCCTCTATCTGCTTTCTGTTTGAGATTCATGAAAAATGTTCCAAGTTATTTTCCTATTTACTATTAAACTATGTTTTCTTTTAAAGAAAAGAATATCCCAAAGCACTTTAAAACAGTGGAACAGTTACAGTGAGCCTGAAAGTATTCAGGTAATACGGTGACTACTGTGGTATTCACATTTAGACAAAAGCACAATGAATATTACTTTAAGAACTCTCTTCTCTCTTTCTTGCACATAAACTCTTGTATAAAGCATTGGCTCAATTTTGCTAAATACCCTAAAACCTGCATTTGAATGGTTTAGTCAGCCAAAGAGGGTCACCAAACTATTCCTTATGCAGTTCCTGATTATTTGCACATACCATGGAGAACTTCTCTAGTTTATATATATATATTTAACATAAAAAATACCAATAGTTCACAATTTCTAACTAAGCACAATTCATTATTTTAAGGCATTACCTGGTATGAAAATAAGAAAGGAGACAGTACTGAAAGTCTGAAAGCTTTCACTTTCATTGTTTTGATATTATAGCACCTTTCTTGTCTTAAATTTCCGTTTCTGGAAATCTGTGGCACCCTTTTTTTCACATTTTCCACTGAGAGTCATAGTTTTAAGACCTGCTTTTCTGCTTCTCACTGGCAGTTTGACATACAATTTGCTGGTATAGGCAATTAGGTAAATCTGACAGAATATACACAATGTAATATATACACAATAAAATATATTGTGTATATTATATTATATTCATAATGTAATTTATCAAATTTTCAATACAAAATTCTTTTGTTACAGCTATAGTTAGGTTATTTAGTGGTGCTCTGTAGAAATCTACATAGATCTGAAAATTTTGTTCTTCCAGAGCTTTTAACTGAATTGTTCATCACAAGGATGTGACTTCCACTGTCTTCTAAACACAAGTCTCCTTACTGGCAGACACATTCTTTTCTATCCACTGTCACTGGCAAGGTGCCCACCCAGTTCTCCATCTTTCTATAATGTGTACTGTAGGGATGACATAAGCTATTATTTTTATTAGGTGGAGTTGGTGGAAGAAACTCGACAGCTGGACTCCGTGTACTTTAGAAAGCTCCAGGCTTTGCATCGAAAGAGTGGTTCCAAGAAGGATGAGGTAAGACAAGTACCTACTAACAAAAACAAACATTTTCTATCAGAGAGGGTTAACGCTTTGAGTATCCTCAATGAAAGACTGACTACATGCCAGTTTGGAGAAGAAAGTAGCTTGATTTCTACCATTCATTTGGGGCAATGATTGACAGACAATGGTTTAATTACAAATACAGGTCTTCAGTCAGCCACATCAACATCAGACCACTGCATGATCGGAGTCAATGAGACAGTTTTAACTAAAGTCTGTGGAATGTATTTCAGGCTCTTAATCTTGAGTAAATTCCTCAATTTCAAGTAAATTCCAGGTATATATTGGTTTATTTGATTATGGAACCTGCACATACTGGTATGTTTAAAGCAAACATAAAACTAAAGCTGATTAAGAGCTGTAGCCTTAAGTTGATTTATTTTCTTAGCAATCAAAAAACTGTTCTTCCACAGAGACAGAAGTTTTCTAATGTAAGGATTATTATACTGAGCAAAATATAGAGATGAAAAAGGCAGTTATGCAAGTGAAATTATTTCTTCCCTCAGAGTGCTGTTGCTGACACTGGTCTACCATCCTGCCTTGATGCTCTCATAGAGGATCAGCACTTGTATCAAGTTCCCAAAGGATTGCCAGGTCCTAATCTATCTGACCTGATCCACAACAAAAAGAAGTTAGAACAGTTCTGGGGTTTTCTTAATGAGCATTCTGCTGGGTATGTTTCTTCATTGTTATTATTATTTTATCCATTTATAAGTTCAGAAGAAATCTTTGCTGGGGATCTTGGCTATCTAAATGTTTGCAGATTTTAGTCTTTTTAAAAAATATGTTTCTATATTTATGAAATGCACATGCACATTGTTCAGACAACTGAATTGTCTTAGCATTTTAGGGGTAAAAATTCTCCTGTCATAACATATTTATATTAGAGTTCTGCTTTCAGTTTCTGCTTTGATTAGTGGCAAGCCCCTGAGTAGAGCAATTAGCCTATAATGAGTTAAAATTTCTCCTTTTTAGTACAGATTCAATTTAGTACATTTTAAAAATTAAAGCTGGATGTTATAAAAAAGTACAAATAGAAGACAGCCATGTTATTCTCACAGTGTGAGAGCAACCGCAGTTTTGTGTTTGCACTGATCTGAACAGAATTAAGTACCAGCTCGTAGCACATACAGTTTATGCAGAGTTTTTGAAAAAGTGAGACCATTTGTTTAAAAATGAAGATCTAACCAGCAGTTCTAGCAGATGTAAATGTGAGTTTGCCACCTTTATTTTTTTTTCCAAGCCCCACATTAATCTCCATTCTGTTCTAAGGAAAGACAAATATACTTTTGAAGTAACTGCTAGCGAGTCCCTAAATTACCACTTCATTCCTTTAACCTGGGCTCCCATAAGCTGACTGTTTACATATTGTCTGTTGCTTCTAGTCTAGTGTTGCTGTCATTTTAGATCGGCTATTGGTCAGCTTTATCAAGTGTCCAGAGATGGACATATAGCACAGGATTCCTCTGGCCAAGACTCAATATCATGACTTCTGCTTATCATCATAAACAGTCAGAGACACCTTTGTAGTCAGAGGGTGAAATACACACTTCTGGATGGAATTCGTCTAATTCTGAAAGTAACATCTAAAACCAGTTTGGATGGATTGTTCCTAAAGATGCCTATTTCCGCTCACTGACTACAAAATGACTGTAGACAATGAGTTCAGATGGAGATTCTTATGCTGTGGGTGCCTATGATCAAGTGACTTCTGAGTTAGCGGTCTAGACCAGTGGTAACCAAACGTTTTTGGTTGCATACCCCATCAGTAAAAAATTTTCAGTCATGCATCCTCAATATATGTATGTTTATTTTTTAATAAATTATATACATATGGTACTGAATTTCTAATATTTTCTTCCTGCCCTCCAAATGAATCATTTTGTACACCCCCTGGGGTATGCACCTACCAGTTTGGAGACCACTGGTCTGGAGTTCCTCTCTAACTGGGGAAATGGTAGGAATTGCCAGAGAACAAGGCACTGGTTAGGACGAGGTCATAGGCAGTATGCTGAATCACGTCTGAGATTCCAGCCTCTCTGTAAATCACAGACAAGTCCCACCCTAAGTGGTAGAGCATGGAAGAGAAATATTTAATTTCTGGAGAAATTTTCTTTTGTAGAAATTGATAACGATGAAAAACACTTGAAAAAGTCTCAAAACTCGAGTCTTTTAGAGCTGAGTTCAGACCTAGTAACTCTGAAGTCCACCTGGTGTGCTACAGTAAAGATACGTAATGGTATTATAAGCTGAAGGAGTGCTAGAACTAATGCAGTCTGGAAAATTTCAACAAAAACCCAACAAATGTGTCATCTGCCTCTTCACCAAAATGTATGGTTCTATTATTGCCCAATTGTAAGTGATCCACGTTTCAGGAAGGACAGGCTGCTGAGTACCTGGGCACAAATTCTGGTAAAAATGAAGTTCCATTAATTGCTATTTTGTTAAATATATAGGGTACATTTACACACTTGCAGCACAATTTGTGTTAGTTTGGGTTAGTAGGTTACCATTTGTTAGTCTTGCCAGGCTAATTGACCATGCACACGCTCCTGATCTGTTGACAGGAAAAAGTAGAGTATGCTAGGAGAAGCCACCACTGGTTTAACCTAACACAGTTTAAGATTATATATTTTGGATTTTAAATAAGATGGATATATTTGATCGGTTGTCATAGGTAGATGCCAAGGGCTAACTCCATAAACCACAGTAACTTGGACCTCTTGGGTGAACATACATTGTGATGAACTATCAAATGGAAGAATTTTACTCTCAATAGAACTTAGGTCTGTATGGGTCTCAAAAGACTTCTGAAACAGTGACATTTCTTCTTAAATCAGTTGGATACTTTTGAAAGTTTTACTCATAGATTAATGCTTTGGAAAAGCCAGTTCTTAACCAAATGGAAAAGTGAAACAGATTTTTCTGGATTTCATAGTTCCTGCTGCAAATACAGTGAATGTCCTCATTAAAATACTCACAAAATTTTAGCTAATAAGATATCATCAGAAAATGGTCATATAAAATAAACTGAAATTGTAGTTATGTCACTTATTCTGTCCTTTTGTTTAAAGAACAAAATCAATATATGTTCCATCAAAACAAACTTAAGTTGATAGTATACATGCAAATGATTATGAACAATGTATAGTTCAAGAATTGCATATGGAGATTATTTGTCACTTACTATGAATAATGAAATAAGCAGTAGAATCATTGCCTTATGAAAAAGCAACCCACAAAAAGCCCTAGAAACAAAATTTACCATAAATTGTTTCTGTCTGCTTGACTGCACACTCTCTTAAGCTCTAGCACTTCACACGGGGTAGGAAGGGGGTGATTTCTGGGGCTGACATTCCCAGCTGTCATCCCTGCTCCTTTCTCAGGCAATATGATGAGGAGGCAGAACAGGGGCTGTCGACTTGTCTCACAGTGGCTCACAGCCTGCAGTACTGCTTTGCATTCTCATCTGTTTCATTTTTCATTCTCTCTGTGAGCTCTGCACTAGGGCTCTGCTTTACAATCCCTGCTGGATTTAGCAGCAGCACATTGAGGAGGTTACTTCTCTCAGGGTACTCCAGAAGGGACCCTAAATGAGATCTCTAAGATGTGTGTTTGATCTGCCTCTTCAGCCAAGTGCTATGGCCTCACCAGATGGTATTAGCAAAGAAAAAATGACATAAAGTTTCAGTCCAATCTGACCTGGTATTTAGGACTCAAACACTTTGGTGGCTTGTGGTTAAACTAATAACTCCCTAGAATGTTGACGAAATTAACTCAATATTGAAATAACATTCTGTTTAAATTTGTTTGTAGCATGGATCTCATGTGCTGGCTAGATATTGAACAGTTCAGAAAGATGCTGCACAAGGATAAAGAAAAAAGGGAGGAAAAATCTAAGGACATTAAGAACAAGTATTTAAACAAAAAATACTTCTTTGGACCCAACAGCCCAGCTACCAGAGAACAACAAGAACAGGTACCAGTTGCAAAACCATTCACAAAGAACAATCACACTGAATGTGACTTAGCTAAAAGTCCATAAACAGCTTTACTCCAGTTTTTCTCCAAGATATCTCCTCAAATCTTACCTATATTTTTGGCTAGAAATCTGGTTCTGTTCTGATTGTGGGGTTCCACTCCTTCCTGTTCAGGCTTTCTCCCCTGTCTTTACAGAACATCTCTCTTAAACCCTGATCTGAGGCCACAGCCAGAGCAGGCACAACACAGCTCAGAAAAAGTGTAAAAATGGCTTTCAGGCAGAGCGACTTGTTCCAGCTTTCTATTTCAGTATGCCAGTAAAGCCACAGACAGCAAGTCTGAGCTGTGGTACTCTGATATATCTTGATACTTAGGAAATTTACTTGGTCAAGCTGGGGTATTATTTGCCAGAGTCTGTATTCTATTATAGGTAGGGACAAATGTAATCTGTTCCCTTTTATGAAAAGTACATGTGAGCCTTGAGTAAGCATGCATTAAACGCTTTGCTTACAGTTAAGCTCATACTTTGCTAAATCAAGGATGTAGAGAGATAAAGGACTTTTGGTATACACAAAAGTTTATGTCATGTGTTATTGTGTTTGGATTGCTTAGCTAATGCATTCAAGTGGAGGATGGGGACAAATCCTTCATGATCGACTTTCAGCAGCGGTTCTGCTAGAAATTCAGCAGTGCGTCCAGAAGAGATTAGAAAAACAATGGCTGCCATTGTTCCTGGCAGATGAACACTGTGGGGCGGAGGGACAAGCGAAGGTAATTTTTTTAACAACAGCAACACATCCAGGCATTGTGGTTTTTGGTTTTTTTTTGGCTCATAATTTGCCTTTGGGACAAAATGGTTCAGAGGAAAAGCAGCCCACAGCCCACATTCAGTTCATATTGAAAGAGACGCTGTAGCATGTACAGGTTGAAGCATTTAGCTTGATAATTATGAAGGCAGTTCCTCTGAAGGTTTAGTCTAGCTGACAGTATTATTGTTAGATCCTAAATCTGAAGGAGCTGGTGTTAGCTCTTCTGCCAGTCAGGCTGCCAGGGGAGTAAACTAATCTTTGCTGCAGTGCTGCACTCTCCATATGCCATTTTGCCTTACCCATACACTTGCACACAGAAGAAATGCTGCTTTGTGTAAAGGATTTGCTCAAGGGGACAAAAACACAACAAAACGAGTGGGTTTCCCACGCCATATTCTCTCTCTCTCTCTTATGCTGTCCGTATTCTCCCATCTGGAGCTGCGGTGCCTGTAGAAATGACTTCACGAGTTGTGAAATTCTTCTGAGTGGGGAGGTTAACTGCTACAAGCCTTGTTCCAATTGGTTACTTCAGAAAGTTGCCAGAAAACTGGGAACAAGGAGCCTTTCACTCCTGCTGGCTCATGAGAAAGACTGGGCAATGGGCAGAGCTAACATCTGCCTTTTATGAGAGTGCCTCTCTGGCAGGGATCTATGTAGGGAGATCATCCTGCTGGTGACAGATGCAAAAAGGACTTGGTTTTTTTGCACCTCCACAACAGCTCTGAAATGTGAATGTCACAGCAGAAGGTAACTGGACCGCTCCACCAAGCAGACACATATGCACAAGGCATTGATTCGTAAAATTTTGTTTTCTACCATCTTTTTTAACATCAAGAAGTGTTGTTAGAAGTGCATACGAACTGGATCCTTTTCATTGATTCAGAGCAATAAGCAATCTGAAAAGTATAGGTTCTGATAAGACAAATTGTCATTTTAATAATCAATATGCTAATTAAAGCAAAATCTCCTAACCCTCTACCCTTTTTAGCTGAACTCCATCTCCTTTACAAGCCCTGGCACAAGACCATGTGATAAGGCTAAGCTGCTGCCATGGTTTAACCCCAGCCAGCAGCTGAGCACTGCACAGCTGCTCACTACCTGCCCTGGCTGGGATGGGGGAGAGAGTCAGAAGGGTAAAACTGAGAAAGCTCATGGGCTGAGATAAAGACAGTTTAATAGGTAAAACAAAAGCTGTGCACACAAGTAAAGCATAACAAGGAATTCATTCACTCCTTCCCATTGGCGGGCAGGTGTTCAGCCATCCCCAGGAAAGCAGGGCTCCATCACATGTAACAGTTACATGAGAAGACAAATGCCACAACTCTGAACATCTGCCCCTTCCTTCTTCTTCCTCCAGACTTATATGCTGAGTCATATGTTATGGGATATCCCTTTGGTCATTTGGGGTCAGCTGTCCCAACTGTGTCGCCTTCTAACTCCTTGTGCACCCCCAGTCCCCTTGCTGGTGGGATGGGGTGAGGAACAGAAAAGGCCTTGACTCTGTGTAAGCTCTGCTCAGCAGTAACAGAAACATCCCTGACTTATTGACATTGGTTTCAGCACAAATCCAAAACATAGCTTCATACTAGCTATTAAGAAGCAAATTAACGCTATCCCAGCCAAACCCAGAATATTCTCTACCCCTTATTCTGTACCATCTACATCATGCTCGGGTTCCACGCTATCTGATACATCCTCATTAACCACTCCCCTCTTCTGATCCTTTGATACAATACACAGATATAATTACCTTAGTCTATGGACTCTTCCAGTGAAATGTCTGTAAAATGTCCATAAATGTCCACCGGGTCAATTTAATCCATGACTTTGGGCTCCATTTATTACGATGGTCACTTAGGACAGGAGAGGTCGTGTGTTGGGTGGGCACCAAAGCCAGCTCAGTTTGGGTTATTGCTGCACTTGCACTGCTTCTTGTAAGACTTGTCCTCTACTAGTTTAGATAGTTCCTGATATCGTAGTTCCTATAATGCGCAACTCAAATAATGACTTAGAACAATTTAAAGGTTATTTCCATCACAGTATCTCTCCCCGGTGACCAAACCATCGGGTTTAACATTGCAATGAACTCCTCCCTTTGCTCCTACTCAGACTTGGACTTCTCCAGGTCTAGAAGTTAGCTCATGCCCCTTCTTGCACCTGCTGCAG